AGAGAGAGAGAGAGAGAGAGAGAGAGAGAGAGAGAGAGAGAGAGAGAGAGAGAGAGAGAGAGAATATTTTATCCACCTTGGTCCGGCTGTCCAGTTCTTCCACACTCGGCTTCGGTTCAGTCACCTCCACACTGGACCCTCTCAGCTCCGACGAAGGGGCGGCCTTCCTCCCCAGCCAGGGAAACAAAAACGTTTTTAAGTCAAATTTTCTTCCATACTGAAAAGAAGGCATTCTCAGGAGTGGCCGTTTCCTTAAGAGAAACCCTCGCGTCAAGTGGCTAGTCCTCGTGGCTTCCAAAGAGGATGCCCCTGTGCCAGCAGCAACCATGAGTCTTGCATCGTGTGTATTTGGGGGTGGGGTGGGGGAGAGAAGACTTACCGCAAGACCCTGGATTTTCTCAAAGATGAGGTTGGTTTTTCGCTTCGCCGAGGCGTCGCTTTCGGCGCTCCTGAAATTGACACGCCGACAAATTCAGCAAAACTGGCTAAAGCGCCCCAAGGAAGGTTTGTACAGCCTTATCCTGACTAAACCACCATCTCCTGCTAAGCGGTAACCCCGGTTAAGGAACTGCCAACGATGTTCACAAGCAGCTGTCCCATCGAACCTTACCAAGCTGGCTGCTGACGCAACAGAGCCTCCAGCTTTAGGGAGAGTCTACCCAATGCCGGGGTATTGTACCAAAAAGGCAGCTGCTTTTGGGGCCGGCTGCCTCTGGGTTTCCCAGAAACGTCCTGGGAAACCGAGGCAGGGGGATAACCCTAGTGTAATCCCACAGGGCAGTTTCAAATTCCTCAAAACTTTAAAGGACGCCGAGGAGGCCCGAGAAGAGAGGGAAAAATTTGTAAAAAACGTATTTAAAAGCCGGAAAGTGGCTGATTTTGGGGGGAAAAAAACAGGGATGGGGATTTAGAACTGGGATGGGGAGAGTTTAAGGATTCTGATGGGAATTGGGAAGCCGGAAAGAGGAAAAGCATCCCCCTGTGGCTGGCCAGAAACTCAACCAGGTTTAGTCTCAGCTCCAGCCTTCTCCAGCTCCCGGGGTTTACCTGTCCTTCAGGATGCTGTAGATGAGTTCCTTGGTGTATTCGCTGCTTCCTGGCTGGGCCATTTCTTGCTGGTCCCTCAGAAGGTCCGGGGTGGACTTCAACTGGAAGAATTAAACCCAACTTTGGTGAGTCAAAGGGGGTCTGGGGGGGGAGGGCTGTCGATGGCCGAAGAGAGCCATCGTCCACAACCAGGGAGAGTCTTCCTGGCTGGATTCTGCTCCAGGTCTCTGGTTAGAGAATAACCCAAAAGGGGATCACATGGGACATGGCAACTGTCATAAGTCTGGGTCAGCGTCTGAATTTTGATCGCGTGACCGCGGGGAGGCTGCGACGGGTGTGTGGAAAATGGTCCTCAGTTACTTTCTCCAAAACGGTCACTAAATGAATTATTGCAAGCCGAGGACGCCCTGTGTTTTGGAGACCGCCGTATGGGCAGGGAGGGACGGCTTCTCCCCGTGGTGACCAGCGGTTCGTAATCCACCTCCCAGAATGAAGGGACGCTACTAGACTACAAGTCCCATCCTCGGAAGCACCGTGGTTTTCCCCACCGTGGTTGGACAGCACGAGACTCAGGACTGAGAGGGAAACTGAGGCTCTAGCAAAGATGTCCGGAAAAATTACCTGCAAATCAGACTGGACTGACTTTCTGGCCTGTTTCTCCGTCCCGGGCTCCTCCAGGCTCTTGTTGACCCAATCCTGGATCATCTTAGCCTTCTCTACTTTCTTCTCCGTCGTCGCTTGACCAGCGGCTCCCCGACTGCCCGGGGCGTTCACCGAAACGAGCGGCTTAGTCGCTGAGGATTGTTGTGCTGCCTCTTTGAAATGTCCCAGCCGCCCGTCGCTCTCTCGTTCCCGTCCGTCAGCCGTATCGTGGTAAGCGCCCCTTCCGTCGAGGCTCCGTGAGCGCTGATGGCTCTCGGGGGAGACCCGGGTCCTGCGGGAGGCTCGGCCCCTCGGCAGGGCCTTTCCATCAAATTTGTGGATCAAGGAGTCCACGGAGGACAGCGGCTTTGTGTCGATGTCCCCGTTGTTGGTCCGGACCGGCTGGGTCGGCTCTGGTGAGTCCGTCGCTGAGGACACGGGCTTGGGGACCGTCCGCAAACCAGAAAAGCTGGTGGATGTGGGTTCTCTAAGGTTGGGGATCCTGGGGGGAGAGGGATCCCGTGCAGCAGTGCCCCTTTCTGGGATCCCTGAAGGGGAGGACCGGGAAACGTAACCCGAGTTATTCGTCGGAGAGTGGCTCGGCTCCGGAGGATCACTCGGGTCGGGGATGAGCAAAGAGCTGTGGGACTGAGTCCGCCGCAGGTGCTGCTGCCCCATGGATTTTTTGTGGGGCAGTGTGCGATAGCTGCTGTGGGGAGCCGAGGAAAGGTTGCTACGGGACGTGCGAACCCCGTCCAAGCTATCTGCTTGGGGCCCTCGTTGTAGGCCTAGTTCCTCATCCGAGGTGCTACAGTGAGAGCCGTATCGAGGAGGTTTCGCCCCGTATGGGTTTTCGGGAAGATCCGAGTCGGAGCTGATGGATCCTGAAAGATCCTTGGATGAAGACACAGCCCTGGGAGAGCCTGGAAACGTCTCCTCAAAAGTCCGACTCTGAGCTGGCCTCTCATATTTGTTTCCCCCTTTGATCTGTACCCCAAAGGAGTCGCCCCCTTTCTCCCCACTGTTGAGGACCACAAAAGGTTGACCGTCGATCCCCTGGACTCGCACCGCTACACCGTAGGAGCCTGGCTTGGCTGCCTTGGGGCGGACCTTTTGGGATTTCCTGGGCTCCTTCAGCTCATTGATGAACCTGATCTGGACTCCGTAATCTATGGGGCTGTGCTTCTCCGCTAGGGTGCCATTCATGGAATGGTCCATTCTCCAGAAGTCTGAGGTCTTCAAGGATCCTGAAGGGAGAAGGTGAAGAAGACAAGACAGAGGATGAAGCTATTTTGATCGGCATCGCACAGCGGCAAGGGAAGTTATTAAAAGACATTTGTGGGGTGGAAAAGCTGGTGATTATTTAACACACACACAACATTACACACACATGCATTTAGCCACAAACCTTGCCCCTTCTCCAAAACCTCACAGGGTAGAAGTGGAAAGTCTGAAATAGAAAGCATGGCTTCTACATCCCAAACTCACGGTCTTACCAGGTAGATCAGACAGAAACATGATAAAACTTTGGTCCAGTTGCCATGATTTTAATTTTTTTTAAAGATACTGTTGGCCTGGGTGATTGGGTTTTCATTGACCTATGACCCGATAAGCTAATTCCACTTTATTATAAAGCTCCATTTAACAGAATCTTGCCGGGTTGAAAGTACAAAACTCCCACTGTCTCCTATACAGTATCATTCTCTGTGTAGTTGTGGGCGCAGCTGTCTCTTATCTGACTGCCCCCTAGTCTCTTTGCTCCATCTCCCAAGGCCTTCCTCACCCAGCTACACACAAACATTAGAAATTGGAAGCGAAGGAACAAAAGGAGAGGCAACGACATTTTGCTGGGGTTGACAATCAGCTTTTCGCACGCTGAAAAGCTGCAAGGCGGCTTGGAATCCACACAGCCAGCGTGGAAGGAGGCGTGCGGAGCGAAGGCACGGCAAACACAATTTCTTCTCTCTCTCTCTCTTGCTTGGGAGGCTCTGGAGGTTGCTGCCAATTTCTTTTACGGCCAAGAGACCAAGCCCCATCTAGTGGGGAAATTGGATCTCCAGCCCTGGCAGCCACAGCAATGCTCTCTTTTTGCCTATTTCTCTCGCACTATTACCGTTAATTACGTCTGCGTCCCCCTTGCCAGTTCTACGGGACGTTTCGGCTCCCTGCGTGTCCCACCAGGCGCGCGCCCCCCCCCCCGTTGGTTTGAACCGGGTGCTGGGCTTGCTCTGGTTCAATGTAACTCAGCAGCTATGTCATAACGGTGGTGCTAAAGAGGGAGGGGAAGGGGCTGGAGACCTCGGCGTGCCCAGGGGGAGGAAGAGGAGGAGGAAGGAAGGAAGGAAGGAAGGAAGGAAGAAGGAAAGGAAGGAAGGAAGGAAGGAAGGAAGGAAAGCTGAGGATGGGGACTCCACAATCCTGCAGAAAGCATCAGCTCCTTGCGATCCGGAGGGAGGGAGGGAGGAAGGTTGCTTTGAAAAGAAGGCTAGGTCAGCAAAAGACGGGAGAGCGAGTGAGCGAGAGAGTGAGAGTGAAAGAGAGAGAGCGAGTGAGCGAGAGAGTGAGAGTGAGAGAGAGATGCTGCAATGCTGTTGCAACTGACACAACAAGCCCCTCTCCCCATAGCCTCCTGGCTTCATGCAGGACCCCCTGGCTTCACGCAGGAAACCCACTTTGATCCGTTCACACACAGACACACACACACACACACAGAGCCCGACTCCTCCAGCGATGAAAGGCTTTCTACTCACTGCGGCTGGTGCAGCAAAGGGAAGAGTTGAGCTTCGGGGTGGGAGGGGAGGGGAAAAGCCTCGTGAGGGACGCCTCCTCCGTCAAAGGAGGGACGTCAGCGGGCTCAGCACTCGGGGGCTAGAAGTTTGCAGGGCCAGCCCCCCCCCCCGATCCCCCCACTCCAAAACTCCGGGTCTCGGTTTTGACTTTTGTGCAATAGGAAATCAACGATGTGATGAGCCCGGTGAGGAGAACATGGGGGGGGGAGACATTAAGTTGGCCGGCCAGCTGCCCTTGGCAGGGCTGAGTAGGCTTCTCCCTGCCCCTCCCGCCCCCCTCTCCGGTCTCCCCTTGGCCACAGCCTGCCACCCCCCCCCCAATGAAACACAAAAGCTTCCACTGCTGGGTGCCCGGAGAAAAGCATAAAATGGGAATCTCCCCAGGAGGAGACAGAGGTGAGGAGGGAGGAAGGAGGAGGAGGAGGAGGCAGAGATGCCGCCACCCCCCACCCTGTGGGCAAACGGTCAGCTGAAGCAAAAAGGGGGGGGAGGAAGATATGAATGGGAAGGAAGGAAGGAAGGAAGGAAGATGTGAATGAGAAGGAAGGGAGGGAGGGAGGGAAGATGTGAATGAGAAGGAGGGAAGGAAGGAAGGAAGATGTGAATGGGAAGGAAGGAAGGAAGGAAGGAAGGAAGGAAGGAAGGAAGGAAGGAAGGAAGGAAGGAAGGAAGATGTGAATGAGAAGGAAGGGAGGGAGGGAGGGAAGGAGGGAAGATGTGAATGAGAAGGAAGGAAGGAAGGAAGGAAGGAAGGAAGGAAGGAAGGAAGGAAGATGTGAATGGGAAGGAAGGGAGGGAGGGAAGGAGAAAGAGAGAAAAGAAAAGATAGCTAGGAAGGGAGAAAAAACTGACAGAGAGCCAATGAGGCTATTCTAAGAGCTCTTTTTCAACCCCTGCTATCCAGCTTGGTTGGACCACAACTCCCATCATCCAAGGGATGGGCTCAGGACATGGCTGGTCGGTCAGCCAAGCGCAGGGCCGGTACCTGGTCGGGGGCCAGCTACCTATGGGGGGGGGAGGCAAGGGGAATAAGGGGAGGGGGGGCCAGAGGCCTCCAGAGGCCATTTTTCCCTGGCTGAAGGGAGGGCAATCTGTCTTTCCTCCCATCCACTGAGCCAGGACAGCTGGGAAAGCCAGATAAGGAAGGGAGAGAGAAAAAGACTCCATTGCAGACTAGGCACCGTGCCCAGGGACTCTGCTGCCCTCTCTGGCCACCACCAACCCCATCATCCCCTGCCGGCCTGACTGGGGTCCCCCAGTCAAGTGTCAACCTATATGGAGAAACCCCACTGGGTTTGAATGAGCACACAATTGTATTATGTGTGGGTGTGGGTGTGGGGAGGAATTTTGGGCCAATCTGGTTTGTAGCCGCCAAGATACACACTGCATTGGGTGAGGCCCAACACAAAGCTTCCCTTTGGTTTTAGAAACCTGGCCAGCATTAAACCAGGATTCATTTGGGCTTACTTAGCCAGCCATCAGGCAGAATTTCTAAATTCACAAAGAGGTTTGCTTTGGGCTTCACCGTTTTGCAGAGAATGTGTGTCTGCGGTTGTGTGGTGTTGTGGAAGGTGCTGTAAAAATGCCTGTAAGGTCAAAAGTTGCCTCCCAAATCTCTGGAGCATACAAACCTAGGGAACCAATCCTCCTGGGGAGAGAAGAAAAGCCCCAGGGGTCCACCCAAGCCCATAAGCCACAGCCTGTTATTATACTCCTCTACACGGCAACACAATCCACTCATGGAAAGAAACAAATTGCCACAACAGAACATTTCGATCTTTTCAGGCAGGGACTTGGGGTCTGGCTTATGGGCCCCTGCCTGGGTGGGCCTTCCTCTCACTGCCCCCCCAGCCCCCCAGCCTCAATTAATTGTATGTATCCCAATTATGCAGAGATCAAACAAAATAAATCATCAGCATCCTAATAGCCAGAATAAAGCTTTTGGGGGTCCCACAAGCAGACACATTAGCAGCTGTCGTTCAAGGAAATCACCTTCTAGCCAGAGGTACATTGCTGCTGTACATGGAGGATCCGTTCCTCCCATTAAGGTTAACAAATAACCTTAAAATAAAAAAGCACAATGCCTGCTCACTCCACAAAAATTGCCTAAGGAGGCTTGTGGCAGACTATCTCGTGCGTAACGCTCACAAGTCCCCAATTCCTGAACTACGGCTGAGTACATATTCAGACAACAAAGTATATGCCTGTGTTTGTGTATGTGTGTGTGTGTGTGTGTGTGTGTGTGACGCCTTTGTGGGGCCCTCTCAGCCTTTCGCCAGAGATTTGGCAAAATCGCCGCTGGAGGACAGCAGGCCGAAACTTGGCATTCCTTGCTTCCCGTTTTGAAACAAAACCTCATTTCACAATCGGTTTTTCCGAGGCTGCTGGCTGGGCTGCCCCTCCCTAAAAAAGGAATTCTGCCCACCGGGCACCGCAAGAACTTTTGGGGGAGACCCTCTGGCAGGCTGGCGTCCTGGCAAAGGCCTGAAATGGTGGCCACCACGCCAGAAGCCCAAGCAACTTCGATGCGGTGGAGAAACCTGAAACCGACACCACACCTGAGTTGAGCTTACTGACCCAGCCGGTGCAGCAGGCAGAACGGAACTGGCGAGGCGGGACGACCTTTCCTCTCTTGCGCAAGGCCCGGTGTCCCGGGCAAACAGCCGTGGCGCCCCCGGAGTTGGCATCTCTTGCCAGAGAAATCAAGCACCTCCAAGGGGCCAGGGACACCTGTGACTCTCCCTGCCCCCCCCCGGTGCGCGAAGAACGCCAAATTCCTGGTTGTTAGAATCACAACTTGGAGCCTTTCCATGAGAGCTAGAAACTTCATTTGAAAAACAAAACCAGCAGGGCTAAGAGCGCCAAGGTGTGGTTCCTGGTTATCAAAGACGGCTTGCGGGAGGAGATTAGTGGCTGGTAATCAACAAGGGTGGAATAATGCAAAAATAACAACAGGCACATCCCGGATTTGGGAAGGAAAACGTATTGGAGTTGCACGAAAAGGTTACGGCTGGCTGGCTGGCATGCCACTTTCCACTCTCAATCCAGGTTTCTCTCCCAAACTATCCACTAATTTGGATGCCCGATCTGAATAAAGCATCCTTATCCAAGAGTTTGGGAGCCAGGCTGGATGCAAACCACCAACTGTTGCAACCTCACGCTAGGTTCACATATAAACCCCAAACAGTGGCTTGCAAACAGCTCTCTAGCCGGGTTCACACGCTGGGGAAACAAAACTCCCTTGGGGCTTAGCAGGATATGTCTGAAACCAATCCACTTTTCGATCCAGCCCAGATCCAAAAAACAACTGCAGCACGAGTCACTGCTGGGGTGTGTGTGTGTTGGTGTGTGCAAGATTATTTTCCCAACCTGGGCTCTCGCGCTAACCCCGGATGGGTACAAGGTCTGAATCACCAACTCATTTCCACTTGGCCCTTCCCCAGG